GGGGGGGGGGGGAGAAAGCTAGATGGCCGGTTGAGCCTCGGGTCAGGTGCGCAGGATCCAAAAATAGAAGCACCAACGGCACACTGGCCGGGGGGACTGATCGCGCCCCGCCGACAGCCCGATCGCAGGGCCAAGCGCGCCCCCTCCCCGGTTCGGGGGGCCTCCCCCCCCCCCCGAAGGACCCCACCGCAGGTGTCAGCCGTGTGTCAACAGAAAACTAGACCCCGCCGCCCCCGCGGAAGCACTGCATTGAGAGCCGGAAGGTCCGTTCTTCGCCCCATCCCCCGGGTGGGGGGATGGTTTCTCCCACGGGCTCTGGCCCCTCCGGTGGACGGGAGATTGCACTGGTCGGGAGCCTGGGGGCGGGGGTTATTGGGTCCTTCCTTGGGCCAGGCGTGTTCGGAGGTCTTGTCGCCGGCGTTCCCCGGCCCTCCATGGCAGGAAAATGCGCGGCGCAGGAAAAGAAAAAAAAAGCACGCAGCAAGCGCCCGCGGCTTGGTGTCCAATCAGGAAGGTATATTTTGTGCTGCAGCGTAGATCAGATAATCACGCGCGAGGTCAAGCGGAGACACGATTAACGTGAGATTCGCGTCCTAAATGCTTGCCAGCGGTGGTTGGCGGCCGCCTGGACTCCGCAGGGAGCGCCTCGGGGGAGGGTTTAGGGTGGGCCGCCCGGCGTGGGTGCCGAACGGGGCCGCCTTCCGGGCGGGGAGCCGTTTGTGCGGGCGGAAACCGGACTTGTCCAGCCCCTCGGCGGCGGATTTGATGTGTTCTGCTGGCTGGGTGTCGCTCTCCCCCCCCCCTGGCTCGTCGTTCCCCGACGCCGCTCGCCCTTTTGCCGGGTGCCGAAGTGTGCGTGTGTGTGTGTGTGTGTGTGTCAGCGCTTGCGTCTCGGGCGTGGCGGGCCCCTCCGGAGAGAAGGCTCCAGAACGGCCGGGGCGTGGTCCATGGTTCTGGGTATGCTGGAGCGGCGGTGTCATTTTCCGTTGGTCGTGTGTTCCCCAGGAGACGCCCGCCCCGGGTGCAGATATGCAACTCCAGCATCGACCTGGCGGGCGCGCGGATTCAGATTCTCTCGGCGCGGTTGGGGCTGCCGGTGGTGGAGTTGCTGGCTCCCCTTGGAGGCGGGGGGGGGGGCGGGACGGGCGAGAGGGCGCCGGGGTCCTTCCCCCCCCCTCCCGCCAGCTGGCCCGCCGGAGCCACCCCGAGGCGCCTTCTTGGGCACCACGCTGAACGAACACCTGCGCGTACCGTGGCCAGCCCAGACATGGGCCTCCCGCTGGGCACCCCTCGAAGCCCGGCGACCCACCCCGGGCGGAGTGGCGGGCAGCCAAGCGCGGGAGGGGGAGCGCGGGGGGAGACCCCCGGCACCGGCGTCGGGGCGTGTGTTTCCCCGCTGGCAAACCCCTTTTCGAGGCACCTGCTTCCCGGGGGAGGGGGGACACGCTGCCTGCTAGCCAGGCGGGGGGGACGGGGGGGGGGGGTGTCCATGCGTGCTCGCCCCTTCCCTCCGCCATTGGAAGGGAGGCGCGGGGCGCCTCATCCGGAGGACAACCGGCCGGCCGTGCATATGCCCCCGCCGCCGCCGCCGCCGCCGCCGAGGGGCTTTTGCCCGCGCAACAGCGCAGAGCCCCCGTGGACGTCCGTGGTGGGTTGGCTGGCTGTGCTCCCGCCGCCGCCGCCGCCGTTGCCTGGCCGTTGAAAGTGGACGCGCCACGGGGCGGGGGCGGGGGCGGCCCGCCGGCGGCCTCTCCCCAGGGCGCGGGACGAGGCAGGAGCGCGGCGAGAAGCATGCGGCTACTCGACTCTCTCGGGCAGGGAAACAGCCGGGAACCGGCGGGGGGGAGGAGGCGCTCCCAGCACGGCAGCCACACACAGCAGCCCCCCCCCCCTCTCTCTCTCTCTCTCTCTCTCTCCCCGGGCCTCCGCTGGACAATGCATCGGGCGCGCCCGGCCCCGCGCCCCAGCCCCCTGTGAGCACCATCGCGTCCGGCTCCCGGGATCAGCCCTCCCGCGCGGGCCCCGCCACGCGCAGGCCGCCCGCCTGCCCGCTCGCCCGCCCGCCCGCCCGCCAGCCAATCGGGTTTGTCTGATGTGAGGCCGATGCGCGGCTCCCGCCCCCCCGGGCGCCACTTCCTCCCCCTCCGGCTCTCCTCCCTCCTCCCCTGCCCCTTTCCCTCCTTTCCCCCCTCCACCGCTCCGCCGCCCCCCCCCCCTCCCCCCTCGGTCCTCTCCCCCCCTGTGTTGAGGCCAATCCACACGCGTCCCCCTTTTGCGCGTTACCTGTTGGTTCGTGCGCGCCTCCCCCCCCCCCTCCCTCTGTCTCCCTCTCTCTCTCTCCCCCTGCCTCCTCTGCTCCCTGCCCGCACGCATCTGCTCTCTGCGCGTCTGCTCGACACGTGTGTCGGGCCGCGCCCTCCTCCCGCCCGACCCGGCTGCCTGCTCCTCCATCTGGCTGACTCTCGTGTGCTCCCCCTCCCCCGCCTTCACACCAGGAACCATAGCATCCCTTGCTATCCGGAATCGAATCGCCGCGGCATCCGTAGCGGTTCTTCGGTCGCTGCCGCGCGCGTCTGTGCCCACTTTCGCTCGCCAGTCCCTGCTGCCCATTAGCAGCGCTTCCCCTCTCCCCTCCTCCCCCTTCGCCACCTCGCTGCTGGGCCGCCGCTCGTTCCACAGCGCCACGCCCCTCGCCACCGCCGCCACCATGGCCACCCCCGCGCCCGTTTCCGAGGCCCGCGTCTACTGCCAGGCCAACGCCTCCCGCCCGACCGAGTACCACGAGTATGACCTGGTCAACCTGACCTGGGGCAACCAGGACGACTACCAGGTGGTCCGCCGCATTGGTCGCGGCAAGTACTCCGAGGTCTTCCATGGCATCCGCATCGCGGAGAACGCCGTTCCCCTGGAGCACGAGAAGGACTGCGTCATCAAGGTCCTGAAGCCCATCAAGCGCAAGAAGATCAAGCGCGAGTACAAGATCCTGAAGAACCTGGAGGGCGGCACCAACATCGTCCGTCTGTATGACATCGTTCGCGATCCCTATGTACGCTGTGGCTCCCTCCCCCTCTCTCTCTCTCTCTCTCTCCCTTTCTCTCCCTCCCTCTCTCTTTCTCTCTCTTTCTCTCTCCCGCTCCGGTTGTGGCATCGCTCTGCGCCACTCGCAAGGCTGCTCCTCCCTGTTTCCTGAGCTGGCGTGGCGGTCGGCCGAGCAGGCTCTCCTGGCTGGCCTGCCCCCCTCTCGCCCCCCCCCCCTTGTCCGTGACTCTGGCCCCTGTGCTTACCTGCGCACCCCTTTCTCCTCTGCTCCCCCCCCCCCCCGGCAGTCCCGGACACCCTCCTTCATCTTCGAGTTCGTCAACACCGTCGACCACAAGCAGCTCTATCGCACCCTGAAGGCGGATGACATTCGCTACTACATCTACCAGCTGCTCCTGGCCCTCGACTATGCCCACTCGCATGGCATCATGCACCGCGATGTCAAGCCGCACAATGTCATGATCGACCACAACAAGCGCCAGCTGCGCCTCATCGATTGGGGTCTGGCCGAGTTCTACCACCCCAACACCGCGTACAATGTGCGCGTCGCCTCGCGCTACTTCAAGGGCCCGGAGCTGCTTGTGGACTTCCAGCACTACGACTACTCCCTGGACCTGTGGAGCCTGGGCTGCATGTTCGCCGGCATGGTGCGTTGTGCTGGTCCACCGGCCTTTCCTTATGTGCCCCTCCCCCCCCCCCGCCCCTCGCCCAGGGCCGCCCCTCGCCGCCCTGTTGCTCATCTGCACCCCTCTTGCCCCGATCGTCGCCATCTATCTCACCCATCTCGCTCCCCCGCACGTCGCGCGCACAGATTTTCAAGGTTGACACCTTCTTCTGCGGCTCGGACAACGTCGACCAGCTTGTCAAGATTGTCGACGTCCTGGGGTTCAAGAAGCTCGAGGCGTACCTGGACAAGTACAAGCTCCGCCTGCACACGTCCATCCTCTCGCTCCTGTCCGGCAAGGAGGGCCGCCGCCTGAGCTCCTTCATCAATGACGACAACCGGGATCTGGCCTCGGCCGACGCCATCGACTTCCTGGAGCGTCTGCTGCGCTTCGACCATGTCGAGCGCCTGACCGCCCGCGAGGCCATGCTCCACCCCTACTTCGACCCGATCCGCCACGAGGTCAGCCCTCCCCAGCCGTACAACAACAGCACCGGCTTCCTGGAGACCAACTAACGGGCGGCGGCTCGGCCCGAGGTCCTCTCCCGCCCTCGGCCCTCCTCCCATGCCCGTCGGGCGGCCCCACGCGCCTGACTCTGTCCTCGGGGGCAAGGGCAGCGAGGGCGGGAGAGAGCACCCGCCGCCTCTCTGATAATGCAGATGGGGCTCCTTGCGTCCCCCTCTCGCCGTGGGCGCATACGCCCTGGTTTTTTCCTCGTCTCTCTCTCTCTCCCTCTGCCCTCGGTGACTTTGTCGTTGTCGCGCGCACGCGCGCGTATCGGCGCGCTATCCGGTCCACCACTCCCCCTCCTTTTCCTTCTTTGCACAAACGCATGCCCTGTACTTGTTCCCACTCCACACAAGAAAATAAACCAAATCGCCATACGCGTGTAGCCGCGCCGTTTGTTTCCTGTCGCCGTCTGGCACGTGTATCTCTTTTGTGCGTGGGCGGCCGGTAGCAGGGGGCGCGAGCCCCCCCCCCCTTAGCGAGGCTGCCGGTAGTGGCCCCCGGGCGAGCGACTGCGGCTGCGGTCACGATGACGGCCACGATCATGGCGGCCGGCGTCGGTGAACCTCCGGCCGGCATAGGGGGGACTACGGCTACGGCTACGACCGCGATAGCGCCCACGGCCACGGTCAGGGCTGTAGCTACGGCTACGACTGCGATAGCGGTAGCGATCCCGGCTGTGGTCGCGGCCACGATCCTGGCCACGGCTGCGGCTGCGGTCCCGGCTGCGGCTGCGGTCCCGGCTGCGGCTGCGGTCCCGGCTGCGG